TTATTATTATTATTATTATTATTATTATTATTATTATTATTATTATTATTATTATTATTATTATTATTATTATTATTATTATTATTATTATTATTATTATTAACGTTCGATATAAGGATTTCCACGACTTTTCTTGCCAAAACATAACATCGTTTTTATTTAACAAGTTCACGATAATTATCATTGAAAAGGTTTTTGTATTTCAAAAGTTAATTAAATAAATTTCTCATTTTAAAAGTCAGTTGATTGAATTTTTAATTTTAAAAGTCACTTTAAAAAAATTGTCTATATAGTATAGAAAAAATAAATTAGCATGCAAATATTCCAATTTAATTACTTTCGATAGTTTTTTCATTTATTGTTGCATGACGAATAGGAAAAGTGCATGCAATAGTTTTTATTCTCTTAATCCAAAAGTTAGCAAAAATTTTTTTCTTGACTAAATTATAGATGAAATTTGTGCTAAATTTGAGAAAAACAATCCTTCATAATGTTTGTCTAAAAAGATGTAAGTTATAAAATAATTCAATTTAATTTATTTATAAATATTAAGGACGAAAATGGTAATGGTGATCAAAGATCTAACCGTCATTTCAATCTGTGGTTTCTGCCATTTCCATATTGGTTGTAAAATATTTCCGGATTTCGAATACTTTTCTTGACAAATCTCACATCGATCGTTATTGTTGGAACGAAGTAACCATTCATTTAAACAATGCTCATGAATATCTCCCATCTGTGAATTTGAAAATGATAATGAACTATCATTAATAGCACAAATTATTATAAAAACAAATCTGATAATTTTAATCTTTGGTTGGATTGATCGCCGGAAATTATTTGATGCGACAATTATTAAGCCAAATGGAATCTAATTGGACTAAATGTACACAACAGATATGGGAAAAAGAAAACTGAATGAGCTAAAAATTTACTGTTCCGGTACAAGCACATGGCCGAACAAGTTCACCGGTTTCCGATTGACAAATACGACATGCTCTTTTTTCGGTGTTAGATGAATCAGAGACTGTTTTTGGTGAACTGAAAACTTGCTTCCATTAATAATCGTAATTTGCATCATCTTATACGAAATTTTTGACTAAATAGGAATGAATATCCATTCCATATGGTATTTTTCTTTTTTTCTGGAACTTTGTTACCCATTCCGAAAAACTGAATTT